AAGAATGAAGAAATACTCATCGGAAATATTCAGACATCCCTGATAGGAGAAAGAATGGCAGTGCTTTGTGGAGCTGCAGGGAACAAGTTCTTGTTCTCCAACGAGAACAAGCACGTTGTCTCATGGTGGCCACAGACCCATGAAAAGATTATGCTCTTTAAACAGCTTCCTTCCACATAGGAGAGAGCAAGAAAGTTCGTGGATATCTACCGGAGTTTCTCCGGCCGGAAAATTTGAGAAAGTACGTGGAGATTATGGACTGCTTGGCGAGGCAGCAAATAGTAACTGAGTGGACACCAGGGAGAGAAGTGAAGGCTTTGCCTCTGGCGAGAAAACACACTTTTGCGCTGGCATGTCAGCTTTTTATGAGCATCGACGATCCCGAGCAGATAGCCCGGCTAGCCAATTCTTTCGCTCGAGTCTCAGCCGGGCTATTGGCCGTGCCCATTGATTTTCCAGGCACGATTTTCAATCGTGCCATCAAGGCGGCCAACATGATCAGGTATGAGCTTTTGCCAATCATAAAGAAGAGGAGAGATCTAATGGCAGAGAACAAAGAGATGGAAACTCGAGACCTGTTGCGCCACTTGATCCTTTCGACGGATCAAGATGGCAGGTTTATGACGGAGATGGAAATTGCTGATAAGATTTTGCATTTACTTGTTGCGAGCCATGACACCACGAGCACTGTGATCACCTTTGTTGTGTTCTATCTTGCAGATTATCCCCATGTCTACAAAGAAGTCTTGAAGGGTAATTCGTACTACAACTTTTTTATCTCTCGTCAATTATTTTCTTCATCTATTGCTTCTTTAATTGCTGAAGTTTTTGGATGAGTTGGTGATATAACATAATTTCAGAGAAGAATATCTAGAATCGAAATCTTACTATAATTTTGATAAGGTTACACGGGAGGGATGTGTTGAAACAAATAAATACAGACATGAATTCTTTATAATATTTTTTTCTTTCATTTTTCTTTAAGGTTATCTTATCTGCTACGAATTCATGTAGGACTCACTATTTATAAATAGATTCTTCAATCATATATAATAGATGATCTACCTTTAAAGAAAATTGATAGAAAAATATTAGAAGAAATCTCACTTCACATAGATCATTTAACAACCAAAATCTAAACCCTGATGACCCCATCGGAGTGGCTGCTCTGCAGAATTTTCTTGATACATGACTAGAAAAAAAGGGTAAGGGAAAATTTCAAGCCTCCAAATTTTTTTCTATGTTTTGGTTCTTAATTGATTATTGTCAACCAGGTCATTCTTTTGAATATAGAAGCTTTCGGTAAGACTTTTAAGACCTTTTTGACAAAGTAACCATATTATGCAGAATGTCTCTTGACCTGTACATGACCATTTTGCACTACAAAACTTAACTATGGACACAGCACTACTATTATATGAAATTTCAGTCCAACATTAGGAAAACAAAGGTGTTTGTTCGTAGTGAAATTACATTTTAGTGCTCAAAAACTTTGAGCAGTACTATTGTGGTGCCCTTTGGAATCATGACATAGTTAATTGCTCTCTCTCTCTCTCTCTCTCAACCCGCAACCCTATACCCTCCCCCAGATATCCCCCACGGGTACATTATCGTTAATACGTGATACCACTAACCAATAATAAAACACTAAATAGGATTAGTCGGATTAGTGAATCACATTATTCCAACATAATAGTTATTAGATAGGCTAAATGATATTCTATAACTGGTTGTTTATATCACTTCGTATTAAAGACGTGATGTCACAATTACATATATTTTCTCATATTTGTTACCTCTTTTATGTTTTGGGCACTAATGTAACTGATTAGATCTTTATACTTTTGATCAATCTTAACTTCGCAATCAAAAGAATACAATACGATTGTCATGAGAAATTTCATACTTCACACACTAAATATGATTGTTTCATCTTCGGCAACGACAACCCTTATGAGTAAGCTTGTAGAGCAATTTTGTTTATGACTTTATAACCGAATTGTAGTGTTTGTTATAACTCTTGTTTTCTGTCTTTTTAGTTCTTCTTCTTACATTGGTTTCCCTTGGACAACAGAACAAATGGAAATCTTAAAGTCCAAAGGTCCAGAAAAAGTGTTGAGTTTTGAGGACATCCAAAAGATGAGGTATTCGCGAAATGTTGTCAATGAAGTATTGAGGCTATCGCCACCTGCTCCGGGAGCCTTTAAACATGTCATAAGAGACTTCACTTACGAAGGCTTCACCATTCCAACAGGATGGAAGGTATTTTCTTTTTCCATAACTTAACGTATATGACATTAGTATTATCAACACTTGGATTGAATGTATTTGACCTTATAGATTCCGTAATAATAAAAACCTCATGCATGAAATTACTTTTTTTCACATATGGTGTTAAGTTTTTTCCCAATCCAACTAATTCTTATTTGTAGGCACATTGGAGCGTGTTTTCGACACACCAAAATCCAAAATACTTCCCAAATCCAAAGAAGTTCGACCCTGCGAGGTTTGAAGGAAGTGGACCTATGCCATTCAGTTTTGTGCCGTTTGGTGGAGGTCCTCGTATGTGCCCTGGGGCTGAGTTTGCACGCCTGGTAATACTAAGCTTCATACACAACTTGGTCACTAGATTCAAGTGGGAGAAATTGATTCCAGATGAAAAGGTCAAATTTGATCCATCACCCATTCCAGTGAATGGATTACCAATACGGCTCGTGCCTCATAAATGTTAATCGCAACTTTATGAAACTGCATGGGTTTGGGAACTCAACTTTGGCCAAAGTATTGTCCACTGCTCATAGGTAGTATGCATGATGTGATATCTTTGTATAACTCTTTTGACTATTTATATTACAGTCATTTATGTAGATGCCATTCTTATTGAAATGGTGGCCAACTCGTCTTCAATATAACAAATATACGGTGCTTTGGATTCTAAATTCTATTTTTCCAACTAACTACCGGTAAGAGCCAAAATGCCCACCACTCAAATTGACTGAAAAATTAGAGAAATTCGAGAAGTGATAAAAGCAGCCTAAATTTCTTTTTATTCTATTGAATAAAGGGCTTATTTGATTTGAGTTTGCATTGAAGGCTTGAAATTTGGTAGGTCTTCTTCCACCTAACTTGCTTCTCATAAAGTTGAAACTTGGCATTCTAAGAGGGCCTCACGTTGAACTAATTACTGCAAGAAGTGGAGAATAACAAAATTCAAGGTTCATTTTTCTAATAAATCGTAAGCTCTAAGCTCAAATCTAAACCCTAAATCATTATTATTCTGTGTGGTCTTTAATTTCATCTCGCTCACACATGTATCGGTGCTAGTCTAGTTTAATATAATTGATTGTGAAAAAAAACCGAGAAGTGCTGACATGGACGGGCTTTTAATTAAGTGTGTTGAGCTATGAACTAAAAGCAAGTAAATAATACAAAAATATTACTCGTGCCTGAACGCAAAAATTAACTCAAAAAATCTCGAGTACCGAACTTGTAATATAAATATTTTCAAATAGTACTTTATTTTTTATTGTTTTTTTTAGTTACACAATTCAAAATCAATTTAAAAATAATATTTTTTAAAAATATTTGACAAAGCTTCTCTAAAAACATGACTCCTAAAAAATATCAATTATCATGTACACAATTTATATATTTAATCATTATACCTAAAAAATATTTTCTTTTATTTTTTTTAGAGAGAGAGTTATATAAGAGATGAGATAAACTTATGAGATGTGAGAGTATGATATAGAAAGAGAGAGAGATTAGAGTTTTAATGGTTATTAGATGTATATATATATATAGTGGTTTAGACCAAACTCTTCAAATCCTATTATTTTATTATTATATGTATTTAGGGGGGCGAGAGAGAAAGTGTGTGCGGGTGTGTGTGTGAGGTAGATAGAAAAATAGAGTTATATGAGATATGGGAGTGTGTGTGTTTAAAATATGTGAGAGATAAGAGAGAGATGTAAAAAGAAAAAAAAATTCAATTAAGATCATATAGATATAGACATAGATAAATAGATAGATATATACGATGACAATAATAAGCAGAGTTGTACAGGAGTGAGGGTGGGCACGGGCCTACTCTCAATTTTTTTTTTAAAATATGATATGTATATTTATATTTATATATTCTAAAAATTATACACAAATATTTTGACTTGTGCTTACTCTATAATTTTTTTATTTCAGTTATTTAAATTTTTTATTATAATAAAATTTTTTTCAGATGACCTTCATTTTATTATAAATTAAGTAAAAGTTATTTCAATTGATCTTCATTTGACTTTGTTTTTTCTAAAAAAAATTGTCTTTTTATTTTTATTCAAGTATTGATTATTGTCTTTATTTTATGCTAATCAATTTTTATTTTTTAAATATATTTACCTCTTAAATTTTAGTTTAATAGTTTTACTATGCTAATATTTTAGTGACAATGTTTAGAACATCGTTTATTAATTACAATTTTAATGGGTATTAGATGTATTTTGTTATTATTAGATATATATAACCGTCCAAGATAGAATTACATGAGAGATGAGAAAGAGTATGTTTAAAACGTGTGAGAACAAAGGAGAGAGTATGAGATAGAAGGAGAAAGAATTGTATCAGTTAGTATGAGATAGAAAAAAAAAGTTGTATTAGTTAGTATAAAATAAGGAAAGAGAGTTAGAAGAGAGATAAGAGTTTTAGAAAATTTTCGTATGAGAACCGTTAGATCAATAATCATCAAGTGAGCAGAACCACAAAAAATTCAACACAAATTTTTTTAGGTTAGGCTGTCACCTACCCAACATTATAATGTGGACTTCTAGAAGTTGTAATCTCTTGGCCAATGTAGGGTTTGTTGATGAAACTCCTCCTTTACCCCCATCCTGATAGTTTTTCTGGTTGGATGCCAGTCTTAATGGGTGGTGTAATTATAGAAACCCATTCCTGACCTTGACTAGTTTGGATCAGCTTGGTATGATGATCAGGACAGTTTGTCTGATATATCCCTTATTCAGGCTTTATTTATTTTATTTTATTTTTCCCATTTCATAATGATAAATTTTATTTGAATTTAGGAGTATTATAACAAGTTTGAAAAAGAAAAAGAAAGAGGACGTAATGATTTGGCAAGAGAAACGTTGTTGGAGGGAGACCCCTATAGGAGTCAATGCCAACCACTTTTGACGTTCTAGAGTTCATTCTTTCATTAGGGCTGCGGCCATGATTTCTTTCGAGACAATGGTCATTATTACGATATGATTAGAGATTTAGAAATTAGTGACAAACCCCCCCCCCCTCCAAAATTTGCAAATATAGCCAAGTGCATGGAATTCTCGATATTGTCAAGTTTGAAAAAGAACAACTATGTTTAATTTTGATTTTGAAGGTAGAGAAATTGTTTTTGTCACACAAATTGTGATACACATCAAATACAACGAATAATTTTAAAACTGCGTGAAATTCCACTCTCAATTTAATATCAACTCTAGAACAATTGCTCAAGTAAAATCATTCACCAAATTTCTAAAGCAAACTTAAAAAACGCGTGAAGAGAATGTTCAACTAAAATCTTGCACAAAAAAAAAATTAAATAAATCTGTGCAAAAACCTAAAATGAATCTAGGATATCATGAAAGATTACATAATTAATCGAAAGAAATCTCAAATTTTTAATATTCTAATAATTTAATTTCTCCTTGTGGCCAAACCTATCTGCTTGTTTTTTTCTGCCTAGTCTTTTCGACGTGTTTTTCTTCATTTATGATGTAACGGCAATTGTTTATTTTATTCTAAAGATAAGTGTGACTGTGACCATTATAATATTATTTTCTCCTTGTGCCCATCACTACTGTTAGTTTTTGTGCTCGTTCTTTTCTCCATCGCCCGGCACAACAATATTCTTGGAAAAAAGTTTGACTTTTAGGTTCAATTTTTAACGGATGCCCTAAAATTTTTTAAATACCATAAATAGTGTGCGTGCAGAATCTTGCACAATATAAATATTAGAACAGATTTTTTTTGTGGTAAATACGTGTCCGTTAATCGGGTGATCGATCTTGCTACTTGAATAGGTTGTGAGGGTCGAAGGTGGCCCAAGGTGGATAATGAATCGTTTTTATGAGTCGCCTGAGTGATTCTGGAAGGCTAAAGGAGGTTCCTGAAATAAAGAAAAGCAAGTTAGAAGGGCGCCGAAATATTTTTCAGCGTATCCCCTCCGGCGATCAAGTCAATTCTTTGAGAGAGGGGAAGAAGAAAACATTGTATGATGGTTGAGAGAGGGTTTGTTGCGTACCCTTTTTCTGTGTTTGTGAGGACTATTTATACCTTAAAAACTCATCATTGCTGTCAGCGTAGCTAGTAGGTAATCATTAGAGGTGGGCAGTATGCAAATCAATTTCTATGAGTGATGTTCTTATTCTTTACTGCTCGGGACCCTGAGCAACTAATGTTTTCTCCTCGGTCTGTCGAACGTTTAATGATTTTTCCTCGGCGAGGGTATATTAAATGTTCAGACTTTGGGGCATTTATTACCTTTCACTTCCGAGCTCTCATGCATTAAATGTTGTCTCATCAAGGGAATGGTGCATTAAATACTTGCTTTCCTAAGTCGTGTGTCAACAAGGGCATTCTGGTCTTTTTGTCTCTGATCTGACATAATACGCCACGTGCCCATTCCCCTTTGATTGAGCCTTCTGTTTTCTTGTGCCTCCTGACACCATTTGAGTAAGATGAGGTCATGATGGCTAGCCTAGCCTAACCTAAGCTAGTGATCTGTCCATCAATAGCCCCTGCAGGAGCATAAATGCCCACACGGATAGATACACCTCGGTGCCGAGGGACTAGCATGATTTAGGACTGATATACCCAAACTGCCGAAGAATACGTGTCGGTACATGGTGGTTTGGGGATCCTTGATCCCTATGAATAGCATCCTCGGGGCAGGGGGTTGAAAATCGACGAATACGTGTCGATATCATAACGAGAGTCTCCATTGACGCCGAGTATATGTGTCATCATCTGGGAGTGTCTGAAAATGTCCCATCAACTGCCCCCAGCCTTCGATCTTCTGACGCCGACGACACGCGTTTGTAAGGAGATGAAGGGCTCTGCAACTGCCCCAAACACTCCATCATTGCTTTCAGTCGTTTTTCACCGCTTAGGAGGTCGTGCGCATTAAATGCGCCTCTTCGTGCTTCGTGCCTAATGATGGGGAAGGGTACTATATAAACGGGCTCTCTCTCTTTTTTCCACACTTTTGTCATTTCGAACTCAGAGAGCTTTCGCCTAAACACTTCGCCGGAGACCCCTTTTGTCACGTCGTCTACCAGTTAGTCATCACCGGAGTTTAGACCAACAAACACCCCTTACTTCTGAACCTTCTGGAGAGAGGAACCACTCCAAGCCCTTCAGAAACCTTCGTTCGCGTCTGGTGAGTCCTTGTATCTTCCTTCTTTCCATCTTTCTAGGCTTTTGTTTTTTATTCCTAGGTAACCGAAAGTGTTTCTGGTTGTCATTGTGTGACCAACCCTCAGGAAACCCCTTGGGGATCTTTGTAGAAAAAAATTTTCTTTCCTCTTCAGTTTTTATCTTATTTGGAGATGCCTCAACATCGCCCTGTCACCGAGGATCCCCAGGCCAGTTCCTCGAGGCCAGCGAAGTACAAAGTGAAGGGAGACGAGCAGATCAATAGGTTTAGGGCCCGATACCGTATTCCCCCAAACGTAGGTATAGAAGA